CTATCTTATATACACTGTTCAAATAATCATCAAATGAAATATGGATTTCCTTCAACCATTTATGGCCTTTTTGCCCTTTTAAACCTGTGTTTGTTAATAAAAAAAATAGATAGAATTTTTGTTTTCATGTTTATTTCAAAATCTGTTGTGATGTCTTTCGAATAGTCTAGATCTACTGTTACTTCTACTGTGCTGTTTGACGAATCTGCTGACTCTACACACTAGGGGTTCTTAAATGGCTACAGGCCATATTTGGCCCACAAGCAATTTAAGTAAATGCATTAAAAAACCAAACCAACAAAAATACAAAGCCTTAGAATGTACCTAGCAACCTTAAACACATAATCAGGATCAGGAATCAAACAAAAAGATTTTCTTAACATAAAGTTTACCAACAAAAAACTAAATTTAAACCTCAGTTAAACACACAAATAACAAGCTAATCTGAGGTTACAAATCCTCATCCAGTTCGCACACCGGCTGCACCGCTTCATCATAGGCTTTGCATGGCAAGCCCATCAATCGGGCGAGTTTGCACGTTGACCGGACCACTTCCAGTCTGCCGGCCAGAATTTGACATGCCTCCTACTATGACCAAGCAAGATCGAACGATCAGCTCGAGTTGGCTCTGTTGGCTGCAAGGACACACACACCACAGACATGTGCTATTGCAATAACCTCAACTTCCTTCAGAGAGGCAAGGCTAAAAAAAATTTACTCATAATAGTTTAATAATAAATACATAACTATTTAGCCATACCTGATTTTTCAATTGCTTCTGCTTTGGAAGATTCGCTCCAATTTCCATTACCTGCCCCATTGATAACTCTAGCCTAGAAAGAAAACATATTTTCTTGCTAACTGCAATACATAATTTACTATTAAGATATATGTACCACTTCCAGAATATGAATGTAAAGACAGGTATTTTAATATAACAAATCAATGGTGATGGTACGAATCTCTATGAGATATATTACAACCCTAAAAAAATAATAGAATTGTGTACCCAAGCAAACCAATATTAATGTCATTCCCCTGTTTTGGTTTTTTTTTTATGATGACCCCTGTTTTTTTTTTTTTTTTATGATGACCTGTTTGCTCGTGTTTTTACTTTTAAATGTTTTTACCTGGTGTTTTTAACTTTTTTTCTTATGAACTGTACTTTTATGTTGTTTTTTGATGCCAAATAAAGTCAAGACAAGTCATGTTATGATTTAGCATAAGCTGACTGATTCACAATAAACTAGACTTGATGCCAATTACCATGGAGATTTTTACTGAAGGCAAGAAGTATATTTATCCTTTAATTAGCAAACTTGGGCTTAAAAATATCTTCAGATGACAGATTCTAAAAAAAACCCCATATAGATGAGGAAAAAATAAATATTTTTTATAAAAAACTGCATATAGGACACACATAAGCCTAAATTGATACTATGTTGTGGTCATAAGAAAGCGATATAACAGTTCTGCAACTACATTGACAAATGCTTTATATTTATTAAATTGTGAGAAAAGATTTCTGATTGAGATTAGGGCAGCATTTTATTTAAAAAAATAATTAATAGTGGCAGATGCGCAGGGCAAAACAGGCAAAAAATAAAATTGAATTTTTATTCGAAATCATCATTATTAGCAGGTGGTGGTTTGCGAAACACAGTATAAAAAATCTGGCCTAGAATAATAGTGTACAGGATTTAATACTGTATACTGAAAGAAGTAGTAGGTTTACTTACACTGACTTCATAGCTTGCATCAGTTTCTAGACTTGTTATTTTGTAACCATTTCTTCCTTGATCTTTTGTAACTGTTACATTAATCCACTCCTCATCACTATCAGCTAATCTGTATCTAACATCATACTCCTTTATGTCCCCATACAGATTATTGCCAATTGATTCAGAAGGCATTACGAAAACTGTGAGGTATGTACCCTCATGTTCTGCTGAGACGTCTGGAGGCGGAGGCTCTAAAGATTAGAATGTGAAAATACACATAAAATTTTATGACCCATTAAGCATAGCAGCCGCAATATGGCTTTAGGTTTGCATAGAAAATAATCTAAATTAAATGAAAGGTCACTTCATGTCTGAGCCACCCGGTAAACCAGTACCAGCTACTCTCGTCTGTCCACAACAGGGGGATGTACGGACCAGTACACTGGTATAGGCCCCAACTCATCTTGAAAGACATACTAGGTTCTTTATCATGTCAGCCAATTATATATTATAGTCCAAGATGACATGTCCCACCATCAGTACCACATGAATGCCTGGTGTTGGAACCAGTACTAACATAACTATAGGTTGTGGCACTCCTGCCTGAATCGCCATTTGTCGATATATCAAAATCTGAATTCTGTCTTTTGAACTTTAAATAGTTTGAAATCTAAGAAAAGTGTGCTGTTTTAAAATGTTAATACTTAACATTTTAGTACAGCTTGGTCTAGTCTAAAACTTATTATAAATCTCTGTCCATTCTATCAGATTTTATTTTGTGACAAAAATCTGTGATTTACCCATATATGGTCATTATATCATACTTTACCCATATATGGGCATGACAATGTCATACCCACATACACATATAGGCAAATCACTGGTATATGTTACATAGAACTTGATAGCCCGGACAGAGGTTAGAAAAAGCACTGACTCTCTTCAGGTGAGAACACTTGTACCACTCGTGCATTCCCAGGGAAATCTTTGTTACTTGCTGCTACAGAGATGCTGTATTCTGTGTATGTTTCAAGTCCCATTATTGTATAAGAATCTTTTGTTGTTTCATTAGTGACCATGGCCATGTCTGTATTAACAGGTCTATAAGATATGGTGTAACGATCTACACCAGCTGAACACTTGGACTCCTCAACCTGGAAGGAAACAATTTATAAACAAAATCATTTTATGCACTTACTTTCTAAATATAGAAGTATAAATTCTCAAATGCAGGCCATTTTAAAAGTTTTATCATCTAAATATGTTATAGAAAAGAGGCAGGAAACAGTACAATCATTTCATCAAACAACTGACATTTGTTGATTACTAAAAAACTGCAAGAAAGAAATCCGGAGTGACTGATTCAACCTATCAACAGGTTCTATTACAAACTAACAAACATTGTTTATTTAAAAAAGATTTTATATAAAAAGTAGAAAAAATAGAATTCTGATATCTATGTATTGATATCAACTGCAATTTCCATCAAAGTATGGAAAAAATTAAACATTGATTGATTGATTGATTTGCACCTGTCTTATTAAAAATATAGTTCCAACTTTTCCAATGCAATCTTCAAAAACTTATATTTTCTTTATTACATGAAAAATTGCTGTATTATGTTTGCTTCATGAGTCAGTGGTGAATTCAAGAGAAGGGAGAGCCCAGCCGGGCCCCCTAAATTTTTTTCCAAAATTAAAAAAAGAATTGAGAAAAAAGAAAATTCTACTCAAATTTTGAGTCTAAGTGCCATCTCCGGCCATACATTAAGAGGTGCCATAATTATAAATGTTTTTTGTTTTTATTTCCTTCGCATTCAACAGCAAGTACTCGCCACTTACAGGATGAGTGTGGGAGTTAGTATAGACTCTCTATCTGCGAAAGCCCCTCTCCAGACCCCCTCTATTGGGTATTTGATTGATTGATAAGCGCAAATAGAATTTTTAGGGGGATTTTTCATATGCCCTGCTGCGACATAATCCTTGTTTGGTGGCGCTGCTGGGAAAGTGCACAGCCATTTTAAGGCAAAAAACCACAAATGTTACTCTAAATCTTACCTAGTTAGCATACTATAATTTTTCATAAAACCTCCATGTTATGAGCAATTATGCAACAAAAGAGATAACTAAAGCATACTATGTTCGAAACCAGAACAAAATATATTTCTCTTTGAAATTTTTTCTATCTACAGGACAGAATGAACAATTTACCGTCAACTGCTGCCAGGAAATGTTGATCATTTTAGGAAATTTGTTACTTGAAACTGTGTTGACTACTGGTGCTGATGGTTCTGAAATAATTATTATGAGAAGTGAATACAGAGTATTCTACAGGTTACATTAATTGATACGTCATGTACAAAATATTTAGATGAAAGCAACATTTTACGACAAAGAAATATTTTTCAAAATTATGATAAAATTTTTATGGTACTGCCAATTATGAGGCAGATCACCTGTTTCATTGGACAAAGTGATTTATCTACAGTTCTCAATAAAATACTTAACAAAAATTTACATTTATCTATCAATTGTTATTCATCTATCCATTTTATCCATGATGTGTTCCAAATAGGATGTTACAATCTTAACCTTTACCATCACCACATATTATCATCTTCCTCATCATCCTCCTCATCACTATCACCATCCTCATTAATCATCATCACCAATTATCATAATTTGTAATCATCTCCATAAATCATCCTCACTACCATCATTATTATAAATCATCACCGCCATCATAAAAAAATCACCATCAACCATCTTAAATCATGACCATCATCAACAGGGGCATAGACTGCTTTTGGTCTGGGGGTGTGAAACGGCCTGGGGGTGCACAAAATTGAAAATACCAAACTAAGTCCCTATTCCATTGAAAACTTAATGGTCATTTTTAGTATTTTAACCCATTTAGTGGATATAATTTGCTGTCATTTGGGGGGGGGGGGGGGGGGGGGGGGGGGGGAGGGGGTGGCGCACCACTCTGAGCCTACGCCCATAAACTATCTTAAATCTTCAGCCAATATCACCATTGGTCGTTATAAATCATCATCCTTAATCATTATCAATATAAATCATCATAAATAACCACCATCCAAAATCATCATCATCAAAAATCAGCATCTTCATCACAAATTATGTAGTTTTAATAATACAATAATATTAATTAATTCAGCTTAGTTACTCACAGATGTAATCCACTATAAATTGATAACAAACTATTTTTTATCCATACATTAATAGCTACAAAAAAAAATTCTGACAAGCATGTGTTTGCAATTTGTCCAATTAGATTATTCAAATGTATTTACCTCCACAAATTGTCGATGCAGTTAGCCTACCACTTCCCATTGGACCTTCACCCCCAGCACCTTCCCTGACAGCTGCTATAGCAAATTTATATGTTTCTTCCCAATGTAAACCGGTCACTGTGGCTGTAAGACCGCTAACCTGGAATGCTCGCCTAAAGGGCTCAGATGATAGATATTTTTGTTTGTAATATACAACATATCCAATAATGGGAGGATCACCACTATCTCCACTGCTGGTACTCCATTCCCTCCACCTCAATTCCACTGATGATCCAGTAACCGTCTCTTCGGTTGGTTCTCCAATGTATATTGGTAATTCTAGTTATAAAAAATGTGGAATAATTTCTAATTCACTAATCCACCATCAGAACCCACTACACTGGGTGGTATGTTGAGTACATATTTAATAGTTTAATTCAAATTTGGTGAATTTAGGAATAATATCGCAATAAAGTGAAAAAAAAAATATAAAAGAACTGCAAGATTATTCAATTAGTTCAATTTCAATACATTCAAAAAATACACCCAAGGGGAAGAGAAATATAAAAAGTACATAAAATACATAAAAAAGTGCACAATATACCATGATTATTATTATTAGTGTTAAATACAAAATTCTTTATTTGTCAAAAATATACAATCATTGAAACTTACTTTCCTGTAATAATAATGAAAAAATGCAAACACGAAAAAACCATTGAACTTTAGAATTTTTTTAAAATCCAATTTTATATAGCGCCTATCACAATCAGGAGAATACACAAGGCGCTGGCATCAGTAATGAAAATAGTCAATGACTGAAACTTACCATTGGTAGTAAGTGAATGAGTTGCATTTGCCATATAAGAATCCTTAGTAAGTTGGCAAACATGTGCAACATCAGGATTTGCTTCACCGGTAAATGAAACTCTTGTAACTCCATTTGATTTTGTGCGTCCAGTTTCTGCAGCAGGTTGACTGTCAATAAGGAACTGAATGGTAGTGCCAGTTACATCACCTTGAATGTCACATTGAAATGTGGACATCTGACGTGGATTAACTTTTGTGTTAGAAGTTGAAATTATTCCTAGAGTAACAAACAAAACAGGAATAAAAGATATATAAAAATATATAAATTCTGATGAAAAGATACTGCCTCTTGTAAGAGTTATTTTTGATATAGCTATTGTTTAAATGTTTTAATTTTTTTCTTACCTTAACAGAGATGAATATTCAAAAGCAAGCTACTATTCTCCCATAGGGTTCAGTACGACCAAATTTAAAACAATTATTGTGTTGGCCACACCCGACCAACCCAAAATTTGAGTTTTTTTTTTTTTTACTACAACTAAAAAATTTTTTTTTAATGAGCTAAAAAGGCTGGAATAGGCTTATCTTGCAACGGTAGGCAATGCGACAGTGTTATGCAATCGTTTTGCTCTTCAATATAGATTTTAAAATGGTCTTTGTTGTATGTTTGTGTATTGTCTACTTTTAGCATAAACACATTACTGGTTTACAAAAAAACATTTTTTTACAAAATTTCCTACAGACCTACCTGTTTTTTTGGATTTCCCCAAAAAGTTGGCCAACACAAGAATTTGTTTTAATGGTCTAAACAAAGTCTAATTATACAGTAAGGCTTAAGGGAATTGAGCTGTTCTGACAAGATGTACCCAGGATGTTAAAAATTAATTAAACCTTGTAACTGTTATTTAAACTGGGATAGGTGTTCAGTATTAAGCTATTGTTTTCCCACATGGCCCAGTGTTATGAAGCTTATGGAGTGGAGCTGTTTTAATGTTGAGAAGATTTGCACCTCCTGGACCAAAAAATTAGAAGCCAAACTTAGATTAGATTCCCTTAATAAACTAAGGATATAATCAACCTAAGACTTACAGTAGGGTCCATCTGGTGTTGAATTGGACAGAACACCAGGAGACAGTCCCCTTTTCTTTAACAAAGAGTTTACTGTGTTCTTTAATGTGAAAAACTGTGCACTATTGACCCTCGAAATGAAACAAAAAGCAGAGTAGGGGATAAAATTGAACCAAAGTACACACAGTAGCTTTAAACTGTTTAGCTAAATTAACAAAGCTTTTTATTTTAACCACCAATCTAAAGCTCCCGAATGTTGCTTTAAATAAATACTTTGTTATTGGTAGTTGTTGAATTATTAACAAATGAAGCAATCAATTTAATACAACAAAACTGAATGATAACTTTTTAAAAGTACTGTATAAAATAGACATAAAATTGATGAGATGGATGTAGCTAATGGCTGACTTAGCACATTGTACATTTATTGTCTAAGATGCACCTCCATTCATAGGTCAATTAGATATTTATTTGGTTTAATATACATTATCACGCCTCTACAAAATGAATGTTGCTTGAATAAAAAAATGATTGGTAGATTTTCCGTACCTGTAGTGCAGGTGTTTAACAACCAATTACTATGGCAACCGCCATCACATCCAGTTTCATGGTGACAAGAGGCAGAATCACAATTGCAAGTCAAAGCACAGTTTTCACCATAGCTCCCAGGTTGGCAGGCTATATATAACAAATTCACAATAAATGATAGAACATTATAGAAGTAAGACCTTTAATTGAAATAACTTGTCTCTGTCTCTTATACACATCTAGATGTGTATAAGAGACAGGAATGTCACATTGAAATGTGGACATCTGACGTGGATTAACTTTTGCGTTAGAAATTGAAATTATTCCTAGAGTAGGAAACAAAAACAGGAATAAAAGGTATATAAACATATATAAATTATGATGAAAAGATATTGCCTCTTGTAAGAGTTATTTTTGATAATTGTTATTGTTTAAATGTTTTTATTTTTTTCTTACCTTAAACAGAGATGAATATTCAATAGCAAGCTACTATTCTCCCATAGGGTCCAGTACGGCCAAATTAAAAAAAATTATTGTGTTGGCCACACCCGACCGACCCAAAATTTGAGTTTGTTTTTTTTTTTACTACAAGGAAAAATTTTTTTTTAATGAGCTAAAAAGGCTGGAATAGGCTTATCTTGCAACGGTAGGCAATGTGACAGTGTTATGCAATCGTTTTGCTCTTCAATATAGATTTTAAAATGGTCTTTGTTGTATGTTTGTGTATTGTCTACTTTTAGCATAAACACAATACTGGTTTACAAAAAAAACATTTTTTTACAAAATTTCCTACAGACCTACCTGTTTTTTTGGATTTCCCCAAAAAGTTGGCCAACACAAGAATTTGTTTTAATGGTCTAAACAAAGTCTAATTATACAGTAAGGCTTAAGGGAATTGAGCTGTTCTGACAAGATGTACCCAGGATGTTAAAAATTAATTAAACCTTGTAACTGTTATTTAAACTGGGATAGGTGTTCAGTATTAATTGGCATTAAAATGGGTCGGAGGGCCAAAGTGAATTTTAGATTCAACTCCGAGGGCTGCACCCAAAACTTTGATGTTTCAGTGCACTTTTAAAAACCGTCATACACTGTTTTATGGCCGTGATATGCTAATTTTTACTATTTCTTTTTGCCGGGATGAAAAAAAAACAAGGTGTTTTCCCGCCAAAGATGGTTGTCAGGCCGCACACATAGGGTTTGTAATTCATTTTCACGGGCTGCAAAAAAAATCACTGTCGGGCGCATGCGGCCCGCGGGCCTACTCTGCCCACCTGTGGTTTACAAAAATGCTACATGTTCAGTCCATGACTGCAACTAAACATTTACCATACCTGACCATCCTTATGGTATAGTTAAATTAGAGATTTATTTTGTTTACTATATATCATCATGCCTCTACAAAATGTATGTTGCTTTAAAAAAATTATTGAAGTAGATTTTCCGTACCTGTAGTGCAGGTGTTTCCCAACCAACTATTAAGGCATCCGCCATCACATCCAGTTTCATGGTGACAAGAGGCAGAATCACAATAGCAAGTCAAGGCACAATAATAACCATAACTCCTAGATTGACAGGCTATACAAATTCACCAAAATATTGTAAAACACTGTGTACATATTAAGAGTAGGACCATTAACTGAAATAACGTGTGTTTGGCAAAGTCTTTCACTTAATCTATTCACAGAGATTACTTGAATCAGTAGTGAGCTGTTGTGAGTGATGCTGAGATGGATGATTTATATCTTTGTGAGTGCTCAAATAGGAAAAATAAAAACAATTAGTTTATCCAGAACGAAAAAAACAGACAACCCCTGTGAACATTTAGAAAACGAAAAGTAGTAGGGTTGTATGACAAATTGGAATAAACTTTAACCCTGTACCCCCTGGTTATAGGCACTAAAATGCGAAAAAAAAAAATCATTATTATCTAATATAAATAAAGGCTAATAATGTACACACTAACAGGTGGACCTATGATATTATAAATTAAACAAAGCAAAATAGTATTTATTAGAGTAGGAATGCTCAATTTTCTTTGAAATGTAAAGGTATTGACATTTGGAAGAATTAAATAATGTTATTTTCTTTTAAATACTTCTTGCAGCTGCAGCAACTTTTGGCTCTGCAAGTCTACCTAAGAGTTGCTGATTAATGCACTGGTTCCCACTTCAGGTTTTTCTTCTAAAATTACAATACTTCCTATTATTTCTATGATTTGATGGCCTAACAATATCAACAAAATTTGATAATTTAATTATTTGTTTTTAATTCAATTGTGAAGAAACAGTGTTGTTTTAAAAACTTCCTTATCCTTCCACTTTACACTGTACTTACCTTTACAAAATTGACTGTCATATGTATGATATCCTTTTGCACAGTCTGCATTATTACTACATACACCTGTATTCTTATCACATTCAACATTATCATGACAATGACAAATTAATGTACAAGATGAGCCAAAATAACCAACAGGACAATTGCTTGGAACTGCAAAAAAAGAAGGGAAAAAAAACAGTCAAGGTAAAAAAACAACTATGTATATTATGCTAATACAATTATAAATTATGTGAATAAATGTTTACAGATTAAAATTAAACAATGGAGAATATTTAAGGTTTCTATTCAACAAGATATGATCAGTGACTTTTGAAAACATTTACTATTTTAAAATTAAAAAAACAACAACAATAAAAATTATCAGTTATCACAATAATTATAAAGATACCAGTAAAAACAATATATATTTCTAAAGCACTACCTTGGCAGTTGCTTCCAGACCATCCAGGTGCACAAGTACCTGACGAACACACTCCAGTATACTGGTTACAACCTCCTGGCGTACAATGGCAATCCTGACTGCAACCCGCACCAAACTTACCAAAGCCACAATCTGATGTTCGAAGGAAATATTAAAGGTGCAATTGAATGAATTAACTTAATGGAAAACACCTTGTACATTCTTATCATTTTTATATTAAAAACACCCTACTGTATATTATAAATAATTTATAATAAAAAAACAGTCAATAAATAATCATGAAATTGTGAAAACACAATCTATAAAATGAATGTACTGTTGATTACCATGGTAGTGACTGTACTTCACCTGCTACAAGTCCCCAGGAACCTATTCCAAATTTTCCTGTTGCTTTATAACAAAGGATTGTATACATTTACATAAATTTACATTTTCACATGTATATTTTACATTACCTGCATAACCACAGTTAACCTTTATTTTATACAGTATGCACCAATACAAACAAAACCGCAATGTTATTGCACAAAACAAACAAAGACAATTTCTTAAAAATAAAATATATTTTAACACAGTATCTCTTTAACATAAACAATTAAGTATAGTGCTTTCCTCTTTTGGTCAAAACATATAATTATGTTTTCCCTGGATACTGGTTACATAAATAATCAACACAATGTAAATGCTTTATCAAGACAATTTATTCAAATTATTAAATTTTATTTATCTATTTATATTTCTGGGTGACGAGGAGACAAGCAATTAACCACATATACTCTTGCTCACAACCTCAATAGTGCAGGTTTACCACATGCTGTGACTTATAACTAAATGATATATGGTTTAACGAATACATAAATGTACATTTACCTGTTAGACATTTAAGACCAGTATAACCTGTTATACAGTCACATCCATATGGATTAGGTAAGCAAAACTGAAAGCCTTTACATGTATCGGTCTTTGTATTTCTTGTACATTGAATATCACAGGTAATTCCAAATCTATTACCACCACAAGCTACAGTAAATCAAGAAATAAATCAATAAATTATTATTATTATTATTATTATTATTAATATTATTATTATTATTATTATTATTATTATTATTATTATTATTATTATTATTATTATTCTTATTATTAATATTATTATTATTATTATTATTATTATTATTATTATTATTATTATTATTATATAAAACTGATTGCTTTTACATGCATTTTGGGGATTAGCTGTATTTCTTGTACATTTAATGTTACAGGTAATTCCAAATCTATTGCCACCACAATCTAAAGAAATAAATCAATAGATTATCATGGCATTTTATATATAAAATGTGTTTCAAATAACTGAAGTCAATCTAATGTCTTCAAAATGATTTAGTTTTCAAATTGATAAATTTGTTCATAGGCAATTAAATGCTAGCTATTAAAATCTTATAAGAAAATTCCCATATGTTAGATTTCCAGAGCAGATTTTATTGGTGTTAATTGAATGAGGTATTTTATATTTATGACATAATGGAGAGCCCCAACATCGGTGCTGGTTCATGATGCTCCATGTCCAGGGTTAGGTTTGAACCAAGTCTTTTCATAAGACTTAAACCAGTTCACTCTTGTGAAGTGTCCACATCTGGCTAGCATGCACACTCAAATAACTCCAGGCATATCTTTTGGAAAGAGTAGGGAACTCAATCCGATGTTGTGACCCTCCATAAATTAAATGGTTTCATTACAAATCTGATAGCATTACCTTTATTTATATCATTATTGAAAAATTAAATAGTAAACAAAATACTAATTTTTTATTAAAGGCCATTTTGTTAGGACAATTGATTTAACATTAACAATTTTACCTGAATACAGTAGACTCATACAGAGTCTAGGTAGTCTGGTCGATTTAGGTCAAAATCATGGGCTACCGGGAAAAAATTGTTAACAAAGCTGTTTGGTATCAATCAATTTACACAGATGTCCTCTTTAACATGTGAAAACTCCTTTTCAATCCTCCTTGGGGAAAAAAAGTTATAGCTGTTTTACTGAAGCCCCCTATTTTAAGTTAAACTTCAATTATTTCTCACAGATAAGGTAACACTTCGAGAATAGACCTGCATATTTTGAGAAAAATGTTTCAAGTCTTGTAGCCAGGAATTGATATAAGGTATCTAGGAGAGCCAGGAGAAACACATAGGCCCACACCAAATGATGAGGTTCAGGGGAAGGGGGTGCAATGGTGAGGAGAGTGCAAATGAATGAAGTTCAGCATGTAAATGGTAAATGTCATCATTTTGATAGTATTTAATGCAAGTTGGTTTGGACTTGTTAATCAGAGGGGTTTGCTCAAAAGGAGGATTTGCAATGGCGTGGCGCTAAATGTGTGCCAGTAATTTCCCCTAACCCCTGCCGGGAAGAAGAAATACCTATGTAAGTTTTACAGAAAATGTAGCTCTGGAATCAATTAAATAAGCATTTTGAATCCCTAAGAATCCACCCTAACCCTGAAGGGTTCAGTGGCGGATTCAAGAAGGCCCAGCTGGCCACTGCCCCCTCCCCACCCAACATAAATTATTCAACGTTTAAAATATCCACATTATAAGTCTGAGAGTGCCATTTCCGGCCATCTAGAGGTACCGTAATCATCCAGTCCCATCAATCATGGTCACTGGGGCTAAGGGGGTCTAGAGTCTATATCTGTGAAAGTCCCACCCTGAATCTCCTCTATTTCAAATTTTTGGATCTGCCACTCGGGGTTCTCAGCTGCCGCTTGCCCCACCCACCTGGGCTTCCACCAAGATGATTAGCCTTTTCATCGACCCCTTGTCTGGCAAAACTTCCCATCCCCTTTCCCTTGGTGACGGGGGTCCTGGAATCTCTGATATACCTGTAGGTGGGTTATTGTTCTTGAGAAGGTAAATCTTCCTGATGGAAACAGGTGTGGCCAGGGGCAGCCAAAAACTCTGTTCAAAAGGATTTGAAAAGCTTATTTAAGCGATTTTAAAGTTGTACATCCTGTATACTGTACATTCTCTACGAATTGCTTTTTTATCTCTCAGACAAGGAGGGACAGCTCTTTTCTACGGCACTCTATCTCCCTCCCCCGTCGGGCACGGCGTATTTGACCAAAAAATCTTTTCTTTTTTTTAGTTCTACTGTATGGTATAATTAGCTTTAAGACATATGAAAACAGCTTGAAAAGCCAAAATTTCAGCCGACCAGTTTGTTGAAACCCAGTTTACCGAAATCTAATTTGCCTAGTTCATGGCCACTTTGCAGAAACCCACTTTGCCGATTCCAGTAAACTGAATCATGACAACCCAGTTTGTCGAAACTCAGTTTGCCGAAACCCAGTTTGCCGAAACCCAGTTTGCCGTCACTGAAAATGATGAGTGGGTCAGGGAAGAGCCGTATTTATATACAAAGAGGCAAAATAATGGAAAGCAACAATGCTGTCATACTGTAGCTATCAGTTAAAATAAAAAATTAAATAATATTAAGGATTAAGAATCGTATCCCTCTCCCTCTTTACGGAGCCACCACTGGCATGTGTGTATAGTTGTAGATAATTATTAATTTATTTATTTCCTTTAGATCTACTTATTATTAGGAGCTGATTTCATTCTTTATCATCATTTCAATTAATAAAGCAGAGTGGTGGCTCTAGGATACAAATCTTTGACTCGGGTGGGGGTGGAGGTGTGGCAGGCTGTTCACCAGAGATCTGCGAAATCTATGAACAACGCCCTGGCAAGGATCCAAAGGAACAGGCTTCTACTGTGTAGGAAAGGATCTAGGCCAGATTGTTGAAATCCAGTTTGCCGAGCGTACGATTGCCGAATTAAAAACCATGAATCCCAGTTTGCCGAAACCCAGTTTGCCAAAAGTCAATTAAAAGCATTGAAACAAGAACAACAGCATAAAATAGCAGCTTATTGTAGTTATGATTCATTTTTATTCATTCTCTAAATCAAACTTTACTAACAATTCGGTTATTAGCAAAAAACTGAATTAAATACAGTAGGTCTATCAGATGTCTTATAAGCATATTTATAATACAGTACAGTATATACATAAAGTTTAACTAAAATATCCCCTATCGTTTCACTTTACTTGCTTGCGCTACCACGACAAAAAAATGTATGTATGTACATGATACAAAACCGTTTACCAAGCTGGGATGCTTGGTTTCCATACAATCACTCACCCTATTTTCGACAGTCGCCGACAGTTGTTGGGAAGGTTAAACCTAGTTCGACTTTGCGCCAGGACTTGCCCGACGGGAGGCTGAGGTCCACGATGGGAGCGATGCCCCGACGAGGGGTCAGATTTCCCCGACGAAAGCAAAGTGGGCATGGTCGAGCTTCGATTAAAAGGTTTCGACAGTGGTCCAAGGGGCGAAGCAAATTTTGACAATTTAGGGGTTTCAAAAGATTCAATCGATTTTAGAGTCTACTAATATGTAGAAAATATATATCATCTTTTTTTCTCCCCGACGAATTGTGCTTGGGGGGGAATCCTGCCTCCCCCCGGCCCCCTGCTGGCTCCACCCCTGCCGATTGCGTTTCAGACGAATCAGGGTGCATCACTAGCTGCCTTGACGTAATTAGGAAGTTGAACCAGGTTCAACCTTCCAGACAACTGTCAGCGACTGTTGCCAATAGGGTGAGTGATTCTATGGAAAATGAGCTTTACCTGGGATAAAGTGGATTTATGTTTAGGCCGAATCCACGGTCGTGGTGCTGGTATTGCTCGACGGGGGATTGATGTCCCAAACTAGAGAAGGAATGGGGTGAGTGTAATGTCATTGATGTATGGCCGATGTTCCCGACAAGTGCCGATGTCCCTGACAGGGAAAGGGGTGATGTCCCTGATGGAAAGGCCAATTTTCCAGACGGCAAAGTGGGCGGGGACAGGAACGGCCAAGCACTACTCAGAGGTTGGTCTAATGAGCGGAACACCTGGAAACTCCCACAATTAGGGCTTTGAAAGGCTTACTGTATTTAATCAATTTTAGAGATTTTTTACTCCCCCCAACTATGCTTCTAGACATGGAAGAGAGAACCCTTGACAACCCCGGCAAAATGGGCGAGGGGGTCTAAAGAGCGAATCACCTGGAAACTCCAACGATTAGGAATTTGAAAGGCTTATTAATCAATTTTAGAGCCCCCCCACCCCAAGACAAATTGTGCTCCCAGACATAGGAGTGAGAACCCTTGGCACCCTTTACCATTGGCGCAAATCCCCTTTAAAGCAAAGTCTGTGATTAACCAAATTAGCTTGCATTAAATACTATTAAGATGAAAAACTTTGCCATTTTACATGCTAGAATTCTTCAACTACTGAGGGCTTCCCCTCCCCATCATACCTCTCCCGGAATCCCACCATAAGCCTACAGGTTCCTCCTGGGTCTCCTATAGATACCTGATAGAGATTCCTGTTTACAACAGCCTACAAATTATGTAGGTATGCTTTTAGAGTATTATTAAATCTATGAGAAATCATTGAAGTTTAACTGAAAATAGGGGGCTTCACTAAAATGACTATAACTTTTTTTCCCCAAGGATTGAAGAGGATTTTTCGTATATATATATATATACACACGTATAGGGGGGGGGGGCAAAGGTAATAATTTTCCCGGTTAGTAATTTATGACTTGGTGTGATACCCCCACCCCCATATAGAAAACAATACGACATAGGGCTTATTTTATTATTATTATAGGGCGCACACATGTGTTTGAAACTAAATAATAATAAGTATTTTCATCGTGATTTTATTTATTACAATCATAGGCCTATTCTTTCACCATCATTACACATTGAGGCCCTTCTTTTAGGTAAAACGATCTATCTTAAATTTTCTTTCTCAAGTTTGGGACTATTATGTTTTTAAATAAGTTAGAAGGCAAAGGAGGGCAAGCACAAGCTTTAACCCTAACAAATGCGCGTTTTTGTGTTTTTAATTCTAATTTTTAGAGGAAATTGGCCTACCTCAACAAGAAATGCTTTTATGTT